CCAGATAGATAGATCTGAAAGGTTTTTGAGAACTGTGGTTGTAGTATTTTCATGATCATACAACTCTGACCAGCCACAACTGCCTTAACCCACATGTTTTTATGTGTAGTTCTCTATAACATGAGACCACCATAACAATGGGGTAAAAAAATTTCCTCTGTAACTATTTCAACAAGCCTGACCTGTGATTTTTCAAACACAATTTGAACTGAGACAAGACAAAATATTCTGGCTTTTTGTTTTATTGCTGATTTATTCTTATTTTAGTAGAGGCTTAGCCGAGGACTCTTACATGCCAGGCAAATGTACTGCCATTGAGCTATGTCCACGTTCATTTTAAAATCATGCCCTATCTCTATAATTCAGGCAGCCTGTGAACTTGTAGCCTTTCTGCGCTACCTCACAAGTAGCTGAGGTTATAGGCCCTGCTTCCATTTACTGAGTTGATTCACACTTTATAAAATATAAGTATTAGAAAGTTTGATTGTCGGCTATAGTTAATGCCTTTGGGGTGGGGGGAGCTATGACATGCAACATTTGCACACTGTGTCTCAGACTCTAAAATCTGAAAATACTGAATTATAAAATATACCTGGCTCCAAGGAGATGAAGCCAAGAAATTTCTTTGATCAATATTTAAGTTAAACATTTGGACAGGAGGTTCTTGGGGTCTGTCATATTTCAGATGCATTAGGGCAATGATTAGCCTTAAAAGCTCTATTTGACTTGAAATTCACTTTGAAGAATGTTTGCATTAAAGTGTATGTCCTTAGACTCAGGCTTTAGTCGCAGAGTTATAACTTCATTGTTAACATGTCTCATGCCTTCTGCTTTGTTGTAGGAAGCAAGTGGCCAGCAGCAGGTGGCTGTGGAGACATCTAATGACCATTCTCCATATACCTTTCAACCCAATAAGTAACTGTGAGGTATGAGGGGAAAGTGTCCCTAACTGCAGGGGTCATATGAAGCAGTCTGGGGCACTTTTATCAAATGAGGCTTAGAAAACCTCAGATTAAATATGTTTATGAATTTGTAGACTCTGTCTAGATGAGGGACAATGCTTTTTAATGAAATCAAATACATATTTCCTCTACCCCAAAGTCATAAGTATAAAGCATAGAACATTGATTTCCAAAATGGTCCTATAGTAGAAGGATCCTGTTTCTATTGCTTAAATAGTAACTAAGGAGATACAGCTCAAGATGCTGCTTAATCAAGTCTCATGAGGCGAGCAAACATCTTGACTATGAATTCAGATTGTTAGCATCCTTGGAACAAAAGATTATATCGCCTGCTCTCACTGGAGTCACAAATTTCAAATTTCACCATTTGTGTTTCAGTAAAATGACTATATGTGGAATCCAGTTTCTGGATTGTCTTGTAACAGCATGTGTTGTTGATCTTATCAAGCCATCCTTCATGTCAAGTTGGCTCTGGCTGCCTTAGAGAAGAAACTATTCTGCATCCCAAATTTGAAAGGCAGACTCAAGGAATTGAAAGTGACCCTCAGATCCCCAGCTTACATCCCTCAGTCTCACCATGGATGAGCACAATCTTGTTCAAACATTTATCACTTTAAAACAAAAGATGACAAAGCCCTGCGGTGTGTGTGTTAAATCAGCAAAGACATTGATCTTTTATCTTTCTCTTCCAGATGTACCGAAGGGAGTTCTTACATGAAGAAGGGTGTGAAGGCTGAACAATCATGGATTTTTCTGATCAATTGTGCTTTAGGAAATTATTGACAGTTTTGCACAGGTTCTTGAAAAACGTTATTTATAATGAAATCAACTAAAACTATTTTTGCTATAAGTTCTATAAGGTGCATAAAAAAAAACCCTTAAATTCATCTAGTAGCTGTTCCCCTGAACAGGTTTATTTTAGTAAAAAACAAAAACAAAAAAAAAAAACAAAAAAAATCAAAGATTTTTATCAAATATAATGATGCAAAAAAAGAAAAAAAAAAGAGAGAAAAAGAAAACTTCAATTTTCTGGGTATGCACAAAGACCACGAAGACTTATCCAAGTGCATGACCGGATTTTTGCGGTTTTGTTCATTTTGTGTTTAATTTGTCTTTTTTTTTCAGCTGTATGGAATGGGCTTTCTGAAGTTTCAATTGTCTGACTTCACCCATGGTGTTCTGTGCTTGCCGTACGAGTGTCGCTGTAACTCAGTGTTGCCCTCGATGTCTTTTCTTAGCTTTCCATTTTTCTTTCGACGTAGTGTGAAGTGTCTTATCCTTTTCTATGAATTCCAATTTGCCTTAACTCTTTTGATGCTGTAGCTGTTTCAGTAAAGTTAGTTCAAACTAATGATGTAGAATGCTTTGACCAAATGGGCTGGTCTATTACGCCTTGTAAAACAGCAGCATAGGGCTTTTAAAAGGTAGTCAATAAAAGTTGCTGAAATTTTGGCTTTTTTAAATATGTAGTAGGTGTTTTTAATGATTTTTTCACATAATGTGTAAGGTAGTGAAGTGCAAGAAGGGAGAACTGTTTTGTGTGAAACACATTTTCTGACTGGGGGACTTTTAATAGGGTAAATTGTTTGTGAGGCTGTACACTGACAGTTTCTTCTGATAGTTTGACCAATTTAGGATATCTGCTGTATGATGCAATGTAAAGTCTTTTTTGCCTTTTTTCAGGAAAAAAAAAAAAACAAACAAAAAACAAAAACAAAACTTAACAATGTTCTAGATTTATTTTATGTAGCTTTGGGGCTGGGGGTGGGGGT